TAAGTGTTACACAACGGTACGGTGGTACAAGTGTTACACAATGGTGCAGTGGTGCAAGTGTTACACAACGGTACAGTGGTGTAAGTGTTGCACAATGGTACAGTGGTGCAAGTGTTACACAACGGTACGGTGGTGTGTTACACAATGGTACGGTGGTGCAAGTGTTACACAACGGTACGGTGGTACAAGTGTTACACAACGGTACGGTGGTGTAAGTGTTACACAACGGAACGGTGGTGTAAGTGTTACACAACGGTACGGTGGTACAAGTGTTACACAACGGTACGGTGGTGTAAGTGTTACACAACGGTACGGTGGGTACAAGTGTTACACAATGGTACAGTGGTGTAAATGTTACACAACGGTACGGTGGTGTACTGTAAGTGTTACACAACGGTACGGTGGGTACAAGTGTTACACAACGGTACGGTTGGTACAGGTGTTCGTAAATAAAATGTTCACGTTAGTATTAATATTATTATAAGTTTCTCCAAGTAGTGACTAAGTCCTATTGTTATTTATATCCCTGATAAATTAAATTAGAATAATAATATTGCAGGCTATACAAAAAGATGTCATGTGGATTATGGAATATATCTGACAGACCTTGAGTATGTTGATGACACAGGACAGTCTTCTTTCATGAAAATAATTGAGACTGCCAAGTGCCTTAAGTGATCCGGGCAGAACGACACTGAAGGCTGGTATAAATATCATCACCAAGCAAATTACAATTACACCAGGTATTACGCTGCGACAAATTAGACTCTACGACGAAGCTGTAGAAGATAATGATAACTAAAGTGTCTGGGGTGAATGGTGTTTTTAAAGAATCAATCAAAGCTGAAGAAGACAAACCACCCTATAGGTTGTGATAGCCGCAGTGAGGACAGGAACGAATTAAAAGCATGGCAAACAGTACTTCTATTCAGGGTCCCAAATTATCCAGTGCCCCCAAATTACTGATGACCCCCGAAGTGTTATAAATGGAAAATGAAGTTAGATGGCCCATGTGATGAGTAAAAACGGTGAAGATGAGACAACTGAAAAATGGCGGGAGTGAAAGCGAGGACAGATATTCGTGGACTGATTTATTCGCGAAGGCCCTTTTAGTCAGGAGGCATGCAGGGTCATCAGTAAGTTAGTAAGCGTACTACTCAACCCTCTCATGAATATTTCCAAGGAATATATAGCCATCGAGAGCATCTGTGACTGGACTGGGATCATTAAACAGTCACTGCCCAGGAGGCTTGATCACTTCATTATAAACTATAGTCAGTGCGAAGATGTAAAGTCATGAGTGCAAGCGAGTTCATTAACTGTATTAAGAATAAACGTGAGGCCCACAACGCAACAATACCTGGACTTCACTAACTTACAGGGTTCGTTATCAACATTTATCAGTAAACAAGTTGTTCAGAGGAATAATTTGAAAACGAAACACTTACCTGATCAATGGAGGCCCTTCTAAGTCTTGCTTTTTGGCCTGAAATGATTACCTCCATCATGTCAGTGTTTCTGTGTCTTCTGTTGTTGGTGGTGGTGGCCGTCAGCGTTTGGATTGGTCGTCCACACTCTGGGAGAAACACGAGGACAATACCATTCGTCAGTACACCGACGTTCTTAATAATGCAATATTCGTCTTATCACAATAAATTTGAGATAAATTCTTCAGAGAGAAACTCACCAAAATCAGGGTGAACAATACTCCTTTGCTTGATTGGGAGAAGAGACAGGTTGTTGATATTCTTGTCGTTGGAGGGTAGAGGAGGAAGTTCCACTATGGAATTGTTGCTTTTGTCCACACAGTCGGCATCTACCAACACAAACAACACAAACGTAAAAATGGATATCATAAACATAAAGGCATAGACACTATAAATACATAAAGCAAAGTTAAAAAGAAAAATAAGCTAATATTTAACAAGCTAACTGAGGATAAACTCACCCACAACTTTTTCACAGCTAACTGGACATTTCTGATGCATAAAGAGTGGATCCGTCTCGCATAAATTTCTTTCAGCCCACAGTGGACACTCTGGTGAATAATTCCAACAGTTACCTGCAACAAACTGTATGTTAGCTGCCTGTAACAAACTGTATGTTAGCTGCCTGTAACAAACTGTATGCTAGCTGCCTGTAACAAACTAGATGTGTGGTAATCTGCTGATGTGGTTCCTGTATGGATATTATTATTTGTTACTTACAGGACAAGGACCTCTAAGAGTTATATGTATAAAGAAAGCAGAAATTGAATCATGATGAAATTTAACTAAAGGGATTTAAGTGGGTTAGGAGTTAAGTGATAAGGAATGGCATATTGCAGACGAAATTGAAAGAGAAAGAATGACGGATCATATGCCCATTGGAGTACTGGAAATAGCAATTGTGGTAGAAAAGAGAATAGAGAGGCAGATAATGAGGTAGGAAGAGGATGTAAGGAGTTAGTGAGGAGCTGGTTGTTGATGGAATTAATAGGTTTTGACTATACACTTGAGAGCAATATCCCTTGTGAGGGCCAACATGGCTGTTATAGAGGATACAAGCGATCGCGGGCCCATCGTGCCCAGTGAAAGTCTGAACGCTCGTGCTTGGCTAGCACGCAACCACCGTCCGGCTGACTGGGTACAGCGACAAAATGGTCAATTAATGCCTTCCTAAAGAAACTATCGACATGGGACCATATTTGTTCAACTCTACGATTTTTTTGCGATTTTTGCACCAAGTTTGATGAAAAACGATTGTGCCGTTGCCCAGAACACACACACACACACACACACACACACACACACACACACACACACAAGTAGGGACGAGACGAAAGAGGAAGACCAATTTCTCTGATGTATCTTTATAATAATAGAAATGGGTTGAGTTAGGGGAAGTTATTAGTTCAGGTAGGACTAAGGAATATTGACGACGGTGATTGGATTAATGAAAATATTATAGAATGACAATGGTGGCAGGGAATCATATTTCCAACTAAAATTATTATTAGTTTGTTATGTGGTTACATTTGTCCTAGTGTACTGTGGACTCGGGATTTACGTCAAGCTAAAAATGAGAGTTAAAGTAATAAGGAAAACTTTTATGTGTATGTTACAATTATGGAATATTTAAGAGGTTAGTCATAAGAAGTGAACCTTGAAGCAATCCAGTCTAGATGGAGGGTAGCGCGGGAAATTGGAGAGAGAGACGATAGGATCCAGAATATTATAGAATCAGAGAGAGAAAAAGGATGAGGCTTACCAAGAAGAACCAGGTGTTAGACTTTGTCAAAACAATTAGAAATATGAGGAACAATATATCCACGGATGCTGTCGAGTACACTGTCGACGTTATGAGTGGAGAGAGCTGGTAAGTCTACAGTAGAACGGCTGCAGTGGAAAACATTAAGTTTCGAAAAGCAGCAGCTGTTCGTCGAGGAGTTTGAGTAGTTATTGATTTATGTCAGCGTCCACGACTTTAAGAAGAACAGGTAAGAGCTAGGTGACGATGGCTAAGAAGAGAGGAGGGATCACTTTTATGGAATGAGCTGACAATTAACTAATTCCCTGAATGAAGGAACTATATACTGTCCACATCACTTATAAGCCACTGCACCATTAGGGACAGTGTGGATACAACACTTTGTATTTTCGTAAACTTTCGAGACATAAAGAAGCAGCATGGTTGGCACTGCACTAGACCACATTGAATTCCTCATTTTGTACTGTTAATTATCCATGGGTGAACAGGAAGTGCCTCGGGAGTGAATCGGCGACCCTTAGAAAGAACGTGAGTGCCATATCCACTTGGCCATCGCAGTCCATTAGATGATGTTACGAACCCCTCCACCAATTGTCATGATCTACCTACCCAGCACTACGAACCACGCCATCTATTGTCCTGATCTACCTACCCAGCACCACGAGCAACGCCATCTAGGGACGAGACACGAGTATGACTCGTCTTAGTTACCACTCCGGGATTTCCCTTCTCCATATCCTGGTTGTTGTGTCACTTCCTCCAAGTCTTCTTTGTCAGCTCGAGTTCGAGGAGAGTTCAGTACACTCTGGGAAGTGACCACAGGATCACCTATCCTGGAAACCTATGGCACAGTGACTACCTACCGTCTTCTACAATACTCAGCCTTACTCGTCAGCCATCTCAGCTCCGCACTTAAGTATTTGTAATCTTATATTGCCTCCCCCCACGTCCACTTGCTTCAAAATTGTTTTATGTTGTATTAATATGTATATACTGTTAATGTTTAGGTTAAGTTTGGTTAAGGGTAATTTATAGGAAGCTGAATATTTTGTTAAGGAATTTATGGTACTTTATTATACACAACAAAAACTCGCATCCTTTGTCTACCCTTTTATAGTCCGATTGTCTTTGTTTTTTTATTGTTGTTGCCTGTTGGGATCTGGGTAGACTTTTAACTATATTCTAAATTCCCAACTCGTAACAATGATTAGAGGAGTATAACGATCAGAAAGGACTGGAGCAAGTTCGGACGTATATTTCATGAAGATAAGAAATGTGAAGCCATCAGTTTCTGAGGCTGGAGACAGAACAAAGTACTAGAATATACCGTAGTTGACTGTACTGTATGTGATAGTATTATTATATATTTTGTGCGATAGGGAAATAGTGGTGCAGCTATACAAAGACTTTAAAATGAGCTTTATCTTCGACGGTGATAGTAACTTTAAGTTCTGGCTGGCTGATAGAGGGGTGTCGTGCTTGGGTTAAAGAAAATATCGTAAAAATATTAGGATGACAGCTAAGAAAGATCTGTTATTGGTGAAAGAAGTGTGTTTTAGATAGAGGGAGAGATGTTTGATTTGTTAACAAGTTTAGCATGTATTCGAAGATATTGTTTTTTTTGTTTTTTCTAAGCCTTAGTTCAGATGTTTACCACTGTTACGACCCTACGGTAGATCGTTACATAGACACAAATTATTTAAGTCTTTCAAATATTTCAGTTTATTATTATATTCTTAATCCCAAGTTCTCCCAACAAAGGTCAAGTTAACAGGTCAAAACCTAAACAAGTCAATACTAATATATGAACATTATTGACTTATTCCCACCACCACATACGAACACAAAATGAAATAAATAACAATAATAATACGACAAGATGTTTGGAAGTGGCTAAGTAAAGACTGAAAGTCCCACAAGATCCCATAAAATCAATATCAAGCAAAACAAATGTCAATAGTTAAATGCCAACTCCCAAAGCATCAGAGAGAAGGTATACTACTTAAGACAGCTTTGCCGAGAGACTGACTACCAACTACCAGCCGGTCACCCACGTCACCTCTCTACCGCCATTTTTTTTAATATTAATATAAAGGCCTCCATCCTCCCCTAATAGCCATACCTTCGCCACCATTTTATTACCTTAATATTAAATATCCTAATACATAGGTAGCTATCCTAGCTGTGTTGAGTTAGTTGAGCTGCAGATCTTTGCTGCATTCAGTGACTGTAGCCTCATGGTCAATATCTGCAACTGTTGTCGGCTTTGGGGCCGATGCTCTCGTTCCCCTGAGGCAGAGCAAAGCAGACCTGAGGAGAGAGAAGGACAGTCGACATCTCATCCAGGTTGTAACATAACTTCCGGGCTGCTGCTTCTGTTCGAGTAGCACCTCTGCGAGTCTGGCGTAGAAGCATCTTGCACTTGGTCCCATCCCACCAAAGGTTGTGAACACTAGAGGAGTGAAGCTGCCTTGATCAACGTTCTGAATTCTCTCCCCGTATGTCCTTATCTTGTCGTTCTCGTTCATCCTGTGTGCAGCACCGAGAGCTAGGTTACGGTGACAAGCGGCCATGGGATCAAAAATCCTGATGTCGAAGAAGGCTCGATGTCCCTGCGCCCAGAATCCTCGAGCACTGACGTCAACACGGGCTTCATTGGATGTGTTTGAAGTCCTATGTTGGAAATTCTCACCGTCAAATGGAAGGAGGGTCGGTTCTACCCTGACATCACGGCAGATTTCCTTCAAGATATTTGCTTTGAGATCCCTTACTTCGTCATGCCTCATGCATATGAAGCCCCCTTTCTTGCACACCATGGCGTGATCGACATCAAAGGAAGAGCCACACACGCATTGGGAGGGCAATCCTTCTACTGGCTTACAGTACCTTAGAGCATTGGCATCTGTAAATTCTTGTTTATTGAGACTGAAACCATTTGCCCTTATCAGTAACATAGTTAACCAGTTCGAGGCGCCCACCTCCTGCACTATAGCTACTTTTTTTTCAAATTCTCTGGTACTTGCAGCAACAGTTGCTGCAACTTATCACTTTGGCCATGCTGTGGTCCTGTCGTAATGGACCTTCGAATCTTGTTTACTTCGCTGGTATCCACCTCCCCGGTTGCGTTCTGAGCGATTATGTGGTCCGTGAGGGCTGTCGTGAGCTTAACTGAGTTTTGATGTTCGGTGGCAACAATCTCCTCTGGATTGGTTAATCCCATTCCTCCCAGTCTCGGTGGTAGTGCAAGAAGTGTTCTTTCTGCTGGGGTTAAGTGAAGGTGTTTTACTAATTTGGGAATGAAATTGACGCTGATAGCTTCTTCCAGAGGGTGGAGGAGGGGTCCGATATCAGGGATAGTGCGCATCAGGTAGTTCCAGCGATGCTTGACTCCATGGGTGAATGCTGCAAAAGCCGCATGTGGCTCTGTGTTAGCAATCTCAGACAGAGCTTGGATTTCCCTAACACACTCATTCACATATCCCGTTACGTACGCGGTCTTAAAGTCCGTCGTGCCGATTACTGCGTCTAGGTGTCTTTGGCCATCCTTCGTTATTTTGACCTCACTTCCACCGAACACCTCCATTGCCCGTTCATAATGTTCTGGCTTCGCAATGAGGAAGGACTTGCTGGTGTTTGGGTAGTACCCTATTTGTGGACCTCGTGATGTTACCAGGTCCCACCACTTTTTGATGTCTCCACTTTTCCTGCTCCTGTAAGGTCATCAGCGTACGCCACTTGCTTGACCTCATTTGTTTCAAATTTTATTGTGTGTTGGAGCACGGATAGGCCTATTGCGTACATTGCCATTGCAACAGGGTACCCCTTCGTTGTTCCCTCGGTTGACTGTATGATGGATCACTTCTTAGAGCCTTGTTGTTTACTATATAGAGGTCTGATGGATTCCTATAGGAGTTTTCAACATACATTGCAAAGCTTGGACACTTGATCTTGATGTTGTGCAGTGCGGCTTTGCGGTTAAATATGTTTAATGCGTTTGAAGCGTCCATCAGGAGAACGGCCTCACAATCACGCTGCTCAAATATCGTTCTCATGGCGTGAATGGCAGCTTCCCCTCCAGCCTGGTGGCCAGTACAAACTTGTAGGTTCCCTGCCGCTGCCCTGACATCATCCTTTACTACCTCCATTATGCATTTTCCGATGATCCGCCTCAGCACTTCCCCCACCCCTATAGGCCTACATCCTGGATTCTTATCCAGGGGAATGAGGCGGCAGGTCGTCAGAGCATGGAGGTGTTGGCAGCACGAGGATGCCAGCTTTCTTGCAAGGACGGCAATGGCAGTGCAGAGATCACTTGCTACGGGGCCAAACTTGTTAGTACTGAGGATGACTCTCCAGCCGTTTGCATCCAGACCTGAAGGGCCGGCACCTTCCTGAGTCTTCAGTGCCTTTTTCCACACCATCCCTCCTGGGATATACTCTACCGCCAAATACTGACGTACAAGTACTACATCCTGATTGGCCAAAAAATAACCTTTTCCTAAATTACCTATTTACATTAGTTCCACTTATCTAATCTATATACAAACCTAATACAATAAACTACAATATACTCAAACCTAATATATTAACTACATAAAGTAATAAACAAAGTTAATACTTAAAACATGAATCATTCAGTGTGGACGAGTAATGAGCGAAACTGCTCGAGCTAACCACCCACCATCTTAACAATGTATTTCATACTAAGAACAGAAACTTATGGCGTCCACTCGTAACAACCACTAAGTGAGGCAACACACAAAACCAACTTAAGCTTTCACAGCTAAGCTAAAATTTTCATAAACTAATGAAGGCAGACTCACCTACACACACGTTGCAGCTATATGAACATTGCCGGTACATTAAGTGTAATTTAGTCTTACACATTCCTCTGGCGACCCGCTCTTGACAGTCTGGTAAACGATCCTCACACTTGTCTGTAAGAGGAAAGCAAACACCTTTATTCTCACCTCTCATTACTAAGTATGACATAAAGCGACAGTTTTATTATGATCACTCCCAGGAGACCAAGTATTGCTATAGTCTACAACATAGTGAAATGAAAGAACTTAAAAGGGCTCTTCTCCGGGATCACATTTACCAGCAGTTCCACCATGATAAGTTTTGACTGCATTATTAATCTTCTCCCCGTTAAAGCTCTTGGCCTTAGAACCAACTGAGAAAACTTACTCTATTTGACCACTAGAGTTTATATTATAGTGTATGCAATAAAATCCCTGGTGTGACTGCAACAAAATGAAAAAAAAAACACTGGACACCGTCAAGTACTCGTGTATGTGTTGCAGTTTTATTAGATCTGGTGAAATTTAGCAGACTTGATGTTTCAGGCTACATAACCTTAAGGAAACATCTTCACAAAATAAATGGAAAAACATATAAATTTCATTATACAGCAAAAGATACAAACACAGTTTCCGTAAAACAAGACTTACCGAGACAAACGTTGCAACTTGCTGAACATTTCTCGTACATAAACTTTAAGTCATAGTCACACAAGCCTCGTCTGGCCCACTCTGGACAACCATATAATTGATCCCGACAGCTGCCTGTAACAAACTGTATGTTAGCTGCCTGTAACAAACTGTGTGTTAGCTGCCTGTAACAAACTGTGTGTTAGCTGCCTGTAACAAACTGTGTGTTAGCTGCCTGTAACAATCTGTGTGTTAGCTGCCTATAACAATCTGTGTGTTAGCTGCCTATAACAATCTGTGTGTTAGCTGCTGTAACAATCTGCGTGTTAGCTGCCTATAACAATCTGTGTGTTAGCTGCCTGTAACATTCTGTGTGTTAGCTGCCTATAACAATCTGTGTGTTAGCTGCCTGTACTGTGTGTTAGCTGCCTGTAACATTCTGTGTGTTAGCTGCCTATAACAATCTGTGTGTTAGCTGCCTGTAACAATCTGTGTGTTAGCTGCCTGTAACAAACTGTGTGTTAGCTGCCTGTGGCCACGTCTGGTAGTCATGACTCACTTATGGCTTCTATGTCGGTGTTGTCTCTGGACAGGTTTTACCCCAAGAGCTTTTGTTTTTGTTTTTTTTAACGTCCACTTGCGCCAGCATAAAGACATTCCATGCAGCGACCATCAGAGGTTACATCATCATTTCTGTGTTAATCTAATGTGATGTTTTTGAACGCATTGGGTGCTGACAGGAAGGTTGTGGTAGGAAAGCTATGTTTCGGGCGCCCTTTATAGTCTCCTTCCCATACAGGGTGAGCAGGGTGGCTCCTACAAAGGGCTGCTTAGTCGCACAGACAGGACTGGATCGCACTACTGCCAGATCCCAGTGCATAAACGACCATCTTATCTTTGCCGCTCACATGCAGAGTTGTGACCAGGGACTTCGGACAGTCATCTCTGACTGTGGCCGTCGCCACACGCTCTTTGCCGTAAGTTTTTGGGGGGCTTAGGGGTTATTATGGTAATAGAATGTGTGATAAATTTGATGACGGTGCGATCTGATGTTTGTGGTGAGGCAGAGTGATCAGGCTGCAACCACACATCTTTGCTCCCTCTTTTCCTGATCCAGTTATGCAAGTAGCTGCAACAAGTAGGGGGAAGGAAAGTTACAATGGACTGCCGATAGTCCAGTTTGTTGGGTTTCGCGTTAGTAGCTTGTCCATGTCTTATTGCCTACATCGGTTGGTGTAGTCGTTAGGCTCCTATGTTGGTCACTCCTTCTACCTATTCCGTCACTGAGGTCTTACTGGAGCCCCAAAGGCATCTGCTGCCAAGAGCGGTTTACTGCAGAGGATGTCATACGATGTTATTCCCTTATCTACCTCACAGAACCCAAATCTGTTTTATGTCTGTTATTTTTTTCTTCTGATCTATACACTGAGGAGTGTGACCACAAGTAAGAAATAATGTTTGATTTAGAATAACCAATATCTGTCTTTTGGCCTAGAAATAAAAACCTTAGTGTGCATTTAACGTAGAACAACTAGTATAATAAGTTTGTCTTAGAAAGAGACCTAAGTTGTTATAGTAAAAAAAACAAATAAAGTAAAATGCAAAACTTAAAAACACATTTACTAACCCCTAGTAATCCAATAAAACAAACTTTAATATTAACCTGAAAAGCACAATGATAACATCCTTACAACCCAGTAGTAAAGTAGTCATGAAACGTAATCATTGTTGCAGACACCAAAAGTATAACATTCAAAAATATTTTGCTACAGAAATGTTAGTAGATTATACTGATTGATAAATAAATTGAGAACTTTACTGAGAATAAACAACGACAGTGTAGCAAAACTTGTACAAAAATCCAATTGAGACCCATACATAGTTACTTTGGTTATATAATAAAATTAGCTATACTGTAAAACATTAAAAAAAAAACATTATACACTAAAATCACTCATTAATGAGCAAAAAACAAATTAAAATCCAGAAAAAAACCAAATCATTTGAAGCAAAAAACAGTCCACCAACCCCTGACATCATATTTGATCACAATAAGTCACCAGCTCCATAACTATATTCACAATAATATATAATATTACACAGAACAACATTATCCTGATTTTAAGACATAAACAATAACGTCATTGCTAATATCTAAATACAGTATTCACAATAGTGTGTATTTATTTTTGTTATTAGTAGTAGTAGTAGTAGTAATATAAACTCACCCAGCCTGCGTGTGTGTTTGCATGGTAAAACGCCCATCATCTCCAGAGCCTAACAAACTCCACATCCTCAACATCATCAGCATAAAACCACACTTAACCCGTTAATACCTTGATGATGCCACCAGTAGTAATAAAAACATCATGTCATTTTATACTACTGTGTATCAAACAGTGAATTAAAATAAAAATGTGGTTGTACTTGTCAACCCAAAACCCAACACACACACACACACACCACCATGAACCTGAGTAAACGTTAAGTATTCCCGTCACGATGAGGTACCAGAGTCAAGCCAATCTTATTATTAGCAAAACGCACGTCCTTCACAGCACCTTCCCCTGCCTTCACAACGACCACCACTACCTCACACCCCACCACCACCTTCACAACACCTACCACTCCTTTCACAACACCTACCACTACCTTCACAACACCCACCACTACCTTAACACCTACTACTACCTTCACAACCCCTACCACCTTCACAACACCTACCACCTTCACAACATCTACCACCACCTTCACAACACCCACCATAACCCCACACACACCACCTACCACTACCTTAACACCTACTACTACCTTCACAACACCTCACCATTACTTCACAACACCCACCACCTCTTAACACCTACTACCACCAAACACCTACCACCACCATCACACCTACCACTACCTTCACAACACCTACCACTACCTTCACAACACCTACCACTACCATCACAACACCCACCACTACCTTCACAACACCTACCACTACCTTCACAACACCTACCACTCACCTTCACAACACCTACCACCACCTTCACAACACCCACCACTACCTTCACAACACCTACCACTTCCTTAACACCTACCACCACCTTCCACAACACCTACCACTACCTTCACAACACCTACCACTAACTTCACAACACCTACCACCACCTTTAACACCTATCCACCTCCTTAACACCTACCACTCACTCTCACAACAACCACCACTACCTTCACAACACCCCACCACCACCCTCCACAACACCCACCACCCCTCTCACAACACCCACCACCACCTCTCACAACACCCACCACCATCACAACACCTACCACTACCTTCACAACACCCACCACTACCCTTCACAACACCTACCACTACCTCACAACACCCACCACCACCCCACAACACCTACCACCACCTCTACAACACCCACCACCACCACACCTACCCACACCTCCACAACACCTACCACTCACTCCTAACACCCACCACCACCTTTCACAACTTCCACCACTCACCTTAACACCTACCACCACCTTAACACCTACCTCACCACCTCCCAACACCCACCACACCTCACACAACACCCACCACCACCTCAACACCCACCACCCCAACACCCACCACCACCTTCACAACACCCACCACTCACCCACACCCACCACTCACCTTAACACCCACCACCTCTCACAACACCCACCACCACCACAACACCTACCACTCCTTCACAACACCCACCACTACCCTCTCCACAACACCCACCACCACTCCTCCACAACACCTACCACCACCTTCACAACACCCACCACTCCTTCCACAACACCTACCACTCTCATTAAACACCACCACCACCTCTCACAACACCCACCACCCACTCCACAACACCTCACCACCACCCTAACAACACCCACCACCACCCTCACAACACCCACCACCACTTTCACAACACCCACCACCACCTCTTCACAACACCCACCACCACCCTCCACAACACCCACCACCACACCTCTCACAACACCTACCACCACCTCTCACAACACCCACCACCACCTCTCACAACACCTACCTCACTCTCCACAACACCCACCACTACCTCTCACAACACCTACCACCACCTTCACAACACCCACCACCCTCTCACAACACCCACCACTCACCTCCACAACACCTACACCACCACCTCTCACAACACCCACCACTCACCTCACAACACCTACCACCACCTCACAACACCTACCACCACCTTCACAACACCCACCACCACCTTCACAACACCCACCACCACCACAACACCCACCACCACCTTCACAACACCCACCACTACCTTCCACAACACCAACACCACCTTCACAACACCTCACCACTACCTTCCACAACACCCACCACTACCTCTCACAACACCTACCACCACTCCTTCACAACACCCACCACTCCCTTAACACCTACCACTACCTTCACAACACCTACCACTACCTTATCACCTACCACTACCTTCACAACACCTACCACTACCATCACAACACCCACCACTAACTCTACAACACTCCACCACCTTCACAACACCTACCACCACCTTCACAACACCCACCACTCACCTTCACAACACCCACCACCACCTCACAACACCTACCACCACCTCTCACAACACCCACCACTACCTTCACAACACCCACCACTTACCTTCACAACACCTACCACTACCTTCACAACACCTACCACCACCTTCACAACACCCACCACTACCTTCACAACACCCACCACTCACCTTCACAACACCTACCACCACCTTCCACAACACCTACCACTCCTTCCACAACACCTACCACTCACCTTCACAACACCCACCACTCACCTTCACAACACCTACCACTACCTTCACAACACCCACCACCACCCCACAACACCTACCACTACCTCACAACACCCACCACCACCTCTCACAACACCTACCACTCCTTAACACCCACCACCACCTCCTTCACAACACCCACCACTACTCATCACAACACCTACCACCACCTTCACAACACTTAATCACCTCTTCACAACACCCACCACTACCATCACAACACCTACCACTACTTCCCACAACACCCACCACCACCTTCCCAACACCTACCACTACCTTCACAACACCTACCACTACCTTCACAACACCTACCACTACTTTCACAACACTACTTTCCTTTCACAACACCTCCACTTACCTTTCACAACACCTACCACTTCCTTTCACAACACTCTACCACTACCTTCACAACACTCCACCACTCACCTTTCACAACACCTACCACTACCTTCACAACACCTACCACTACACTTCACAACACCCACACCTTTCACAACACCTACCACCACTTTCACAACACCTACCACTACCTTTCACAACACCTACCACTACCTTTCAACAATTCCACCACTACCTTCACAACACCTACCACTACCTTCACACAACACCTACCACTACCTTCACAACACCCATTCACTCACCTTCTCACAACACTCCACCACTACCTTTCACAACACCACACTACCTTCACACAACACACCACCACCTTCACAACACCCACCACCACCTTCCAACACCCACACACCTCTACAACACCCCACACCACCTCCTCTTCACAACACCCACCACTACAACACACCTCCACCACTCACCTTCACAACACCCACCACCACCTCTCACACCCACCACCACTCTCTCACAACACCCACCACCACCTCTCCACAACACCTACCACCACCTCTTCACAACACCACCACCACTCTTCACAACACCCACCACCACCTTCACACCACACCCACCACTACCCTACAACACCCACCACCACCTTCACAACACCCATACCACACTTCCTCAACACCCACCACCACCCACTCCACAACACCCACCACCTCACCTTACACACACCACCACCACCTTCACAACACCCACCACTTCACTCACAACACCCACCACACCTCCAAAACACCCACCACTCACCTTCTCAAACACCCACCACCACCCTCTACAACACCCACCACCCACTCCACAACACCCACCACCACCTCACCAACACCCACCACCACCTCCACAACACCCACCACCACCTTCCACAACTCCACTACCTCACCCTTCACAACAACTCCACCACTACCACCACAACACCCACTCACTACCACCTCACAACACCCCACCACTACCACTCCACAACACCTCAACACCACCTTCACAACACCCACCACCATTCTCCACAATCCACCCACCCACACCTTCACAACACCCACCACTACCCACTCACAACACCCACCACCACTCTCACAAACACCCACCACTCACTTCAACAACCACAAACCCACCACCACCTTCCACAAACCCACCAACCCACACCTCACCACCACCTCCACAACACCCACACTCATAACACCACCACCTCTCACAACACCCACCACACTCCCTCCACAAACACCACCTCTCACAACACTCCACCACCACCTCACAACACCCCACATTCTCACAACACCCACCACCACCTTCTCACAACACTCTACCACTACCTTTCAACACACCTCCACACCACCTTCATAAACAATCACACCACTCTTCACAACACCCACACTACCTTTCACAACACCCACCATTTCACTACAACTTTCACAACATCCACACTTTTCACACAATTACCCACCACTCCACAACACCAACCACCTACCATTACTCACAACACCTACCATTACCTTTCACAACACTCTACCACCACCTCCTCACCACTCCACCACCACTCTTCACAACCACCACCACTCTTCACAACACCCACCACCACTTCACAACACCTACCTACCTTTCACAACACCTACCACTTCTTTCACAACACCCATTACACTACCTTTAACAACACCCACCACACCTTCATCAACACCTACCACTACCTTCACAAAACCCCACCACTACCTTTCACAACACTCACCACCACTTTCACAACAACCTACCACCACCTTCACACAAACCCACCAACCACTTCCACAACACACCTCCCATCTACACACCACACCCCACCACCAACACACCCACACCACACTCCACAAACCCACACCCCACCCACCCACCACCACCTCTACACCACCTTTCCACAAACACCCACATCCACCCACTCCAAACACCCACCACCACCCTCTCACAACACCCACCACCACCTTCACAACACCCACCACCACCTCCACAACACCCACCACCACCCTCTCACACACCCACCACCACCTTCCACAACACCCACCCCACTCCCTCTCACAAACCCACCAC